CTTTAGAGTCCCGGGGACCACAGATTACTGAATTATGTGACCGAAATATTTACAGAAATAGAGAACGTAATCATAAAGATGAATAAGCAAAACAGAATGAGCAGGCAAGTTTTCGGAACTGTAGGGGAAAGAAGGCACGAATGTATCGATGTGTGTGCGTATGTGTGTGTATGCACACATATATATTATTCAAAAGGGAAGTTGGTAAAAAGCCCAAATTTATCAGTAATTCTGATACCATAAACATAGATGGATTCAATGTATGAGTTAAAAGATTGAATTTTAAAAAATCTAAATCTATGTAAGTGTCATATATATGAAACACACATAAAAGGTCATGAAAACATTGAAAGTAAAAAAAAAGTATGAAAATGATGTTCCTGGAAACTCCTAACCGAAAGACAGCTGGGACGTCTGTACAGAGTCGCAGTCTACTTTTGTGTAGACTCGGCTCTCAAGCTCACTTGGCGGCACTCCTTGACCCTGAACGGAATAGTTACACTTACCAGCCATATGTGTCGCTGTTATTCCCTTATATTTTATTGCTTTTGGAAGGATGACTTTTGATTTTATGTATAACTGAAGTAAGAACATGTCAAAATCAGAAGTGGGAAGCTTTTGCTGATAATGAACCTGATGAAAATTGCATCGGTGGATTTGCTAGGTAATGTTACCTGATGAAAACCTTGGCTCCGATCAATTGGCAGGGAGCATCAGACTGCTCTGCAGAATGGCTGAGGAGGGTCCACCAACTGCTTACCCCTTGTGGACTGTTCTTGGTGTACCATGTGCTACAGGAACACGCAGGATACGTTCAGAGGTAAATGGAAAAAGCCAACATCCACCATCTTCGTAGGATGCATCCAATTTGCTGTCTGTCAGTACACAAACCAGACACCACGGGTAACCAGAGACGTATTTTCTGACCGATTAATAACCTTTTCATACCAGTGGTACAAATTCATTGCAGGGATTCTGGCTTGGACGAAAAACCAGATGTTAGATGTTATCATTCCTGGAAACTGTTACACATATCTCCTTCCCAAACATTTTGTGGAAAAGCAGTTTCAGCTTTTATTTCCCCTAGGGGAATACATGCCTTTGAGCCTGACGGCAAAGAATTTTAGAGGAGGGGTAAACACTGTTTTTCAGCCTGTGTGCTTGCTGCAGTCACAGAGCCTAAGATCCCATGACTCCTGAAAGAGTCCAGTGTTGAGAATGTCATGTACACAGTTGACATGTGTTTGGAATGGTGCTGGTAAGACATTAACACAGGCGTGGCTCAGACTCTCACCATACGGATGCTTGCAAACAAGTCTGTGCATAAAGGCTTTGCAGAATTTTTTGTGACTAATGAGAAAATGATGACGTAAGACTTCATTCTTGCACAAAAGGTTTATCAGCTAAAAGTGGAAATAACAGAAGAACTGATGCCAAAGAAATGTTGAATGCCGCAACTCGGCTATTGTTCATTCTTTGCATGGTGGGGAAATTGCTGACGAATACAGATAAGGGTTGACGGTAATTGTGATGATAATGACGATGCAAATAACACCGAGTAAAACATTCCCATTAAAAATATGCTGAATATCTAATCGGTTAATTATGGGCCTTGAACTATTTCACAATGAATGGGGAGCAGGAGATAATGGAAGATTACCCAGTTAGAAACAGACTTCTCACGTAGGCATCCAATGGAGTTGGACCCTGGAAGAAGTCATTAAAAAGGTAATTGATGGGAGTGTGCTTCTTGGTTTGAGGACCCTGCTCCTGGTACATCATGAGATGTCCAGTAGGAAAAGTGTGGCATCCTCAAGTTAAGATAATTCAAGGTACATTTAATAAAGGGACTGTTTGCAAAAATGCAGGCATCACACAGGAAAACCTTGAGGAATAGTTCAGTATCCCAGGGATCGGACCTCAGACCTGTTACATTCCTGGGCCCAAAGGAATGAAGGGAAGGAGTGTCTACAAAACCTGAAAGGAGGGGATTGTGTAGACAGGACCTCCTTAGAAGGACCGGTGAACTTTGGCTGGTGGGTGAGATTGACCCAAAGTAACCCTGCAGGGAGGGAACCAGAGGAACAAATACCCCCCCACTCCTCTCCTTCCCCCTTCTGATCTCAGGGGAGGGGTTCCCCACTGCCAAACAGAGCTGGAAGCCCTGGGGTCAGGCTGTTATAATCCACACAGGTTAGCTTCCCAAGGTAGAGAGCAGGGAGGAAGAGAGACGGAGTAGATGTGAGTGTGGAAATGAAGACATCTGGCTCCATCCACACCTTTTGCCCCTCACTATATACGCTTATCCTTTAGCCAAGTGAAAACTCCGCGTTCCCAAGACAGGGAACACAGGAACTGATGGCACTGTCGGGTCATATCAACACAGACAGACTCCCACCTGAAGCTGAAAGTGTTCGCTGCTACAGGTATTCTTTCTACACAGCCCTGGGAGGGCGATGACTGACGTAATATACGCACAGCTGTTAGGGTCCCCGCATCCGTGCTGGTCACGTGGCCAAAGCGGCTATGTTGGGCTACCTGTTCCCAGTGTTCATTTCACGTTCCTCTTTCCTCCTCTTTCCTCCCTTATGGGTCCAATAAGGGTGTTTATGCGGTGGAGTGACTCAAGACCTCATTCCTATCCGAGTTCCTGTTAGCCTTGTCTGTATCGGATTGTCTCAGCATTGCATTGACCAGGATTATTGGGTAAGACAAGACTAAGAAGCACCTCTATGACTCACAGAGGGATCAGACATAGTCCTCTCTACCTGCCTTCTATAGCAGTGACCTAATTTCCTCCCTGGTAGCGAGGATCAATTACTCCAGCCAATACAGTGACCTCTTTCTCCACCACTGGCTCAATGGCACAGGGAGGGTCAAATGGTTCAAATTTCTAAAAAATGTCACTTTGTATATGCCACAAGTTTTTGTGTGTCCTGTTGTCATTTGATTGCATTCTTTAAATTCAATTAGGATTATACTATTTGAGCCATCAGTTACTTAGACATGTGTTTTAAAATTTCCAAATGTGTGAGGATTTTATTTTTTATTTGCTTTTTTTTTTTTTTTTGAGGTGGAGTATTGCTCTGTTACCCAGGCTGGAGTGCAGAGGCGTGATCTCAGCTCACTGCAACCTCCGCCTCCCAGGTTCAAGCGATTCTCCTGCCTCAGCCTCCCAAGTAGCTGGGATTACAGGCATGCGCCACCACGCCCAGCTAATTTTTGTATTTTTAGCAGAGATGGGGGTTTCACCATGTTGGTCAGGCTAGTCTTGAACTCCTGACCTCAAGTGATTTGATGGCCTCAGCCTCCCAAAGTGCCGGGATTACAGGCATGAACCACCACACTTGGCCATGTGAGGATTTTATAAAAACATTTTTTTTCTTTTTTAAAGTATCATTGCACGTTTTATGCAGATTCATTTGTCTTTCATATCTGTCAGTTGTAGAGACCTAGCCAAGCTAAGGGAATGAATCAAAATCAACGGAAGACAGGGGCGGTTTCTCAAACTGAACCTGTTTATGTCAGGTAAAGCCACCTCCACAGAACATCACGAGTCCTCAGGCATAAGGCCTCACACCTGTGGCATGTGGTGCTCCAGCTCTTTATCTCTTCCTTATAGCCTCATGAAATAAAGAGAAAGTTTGTTCAAGAGATGACGGTAGTGTTCCCCGCCCTAGGATGTTACAAGAAAGTAAATGAGAACAATCGCCCCAGGACAGGGAGGCTGCTGCTACTACTCGAGCATCTCCAGCATTTCCCTGGGGGGACGCATGAAGGCGGCAGAGGACATTCCCCAAATAAACAGTGAGGGAAATGCAGATGTCAGAGTCATAGTGTGGGGGCTAAAGTGACTCCATCTTGGAAGCTGATCCACCATGTTGCCTTCCGATTAACCCGGTTCCTGGAATGCCCTTCGGACTTCATTTTATCTCTTGTTCTTTGTGTAAGGACATGAGCCTACCATAAATCTTGCCTTTTGATCAAATTAAGCATGTGTACCCTTTCTTTATGGTGCGTAATTCCTGAGTCTGGGGGATAATGGTGTGGAGATCTACCTGTCTCACAGCTGTCCAAGACCATGCTTGTCTCTAAGTTCTCAAATAAAACCGGTTTTATTTGAGACAAATCCATAACAAGCTGGATTTGTCCGCTTCCATCTCTGGTTTCCTGGCTCCTATGTTTGTGGGTCGCTTTGCATGTACAGCCTTAAAAAAAACACTTTTAATGGTCAGATGTAACAATAGAGAAAGTACGTGAAAGAAAAATAGCTGAAAATTAGCAAGCTAAACTTCCGAAATCAGAAGTTAAAAAAAAAAACAATAGAATTAACTCAAGGAGGGAAGTAAAGACTTATAAAGATAAGACCAGAACTTGCCGCCACCAGCAACAAAAAATACGATAGAAAAGGTCTACAAAGCCAGAACTGGGTTCTTAGGAAAGACTGTGATAAAATTGAGGAAGGTAAAACGAAAGAAGAAAAAATAGTATTAGGAATGCACACGGACCATAATTATAGACAAAACAGAGGCTTAAAAGACACTGAGCCAGGCACGGTGGCTCACGCCTGTAATCCCAACATCTTGGGAGGCCCAGGCTGGCGGATCAGGAGGTCAGGAGATGGAGACCATCCTGGCTAACACAGTGAAACCCTGTCTCTAATAAAAACACAGAAAATTAGCCGGGTGTTGTGGCACCTGCCTGTAGTCCCAACTACTCGGGAGACTGAGGCCGAGAATCACTTGATTCCAGGAGGTGGAGGTTGCAGTGAGCCGAGATCGCACCACTGCGCTCCAGCCTGGGTGACAGAGCAAGACTCCATCTCAAAAAAAAAAAGACAAGACACTGAAAATTTCATCAAAACTTTATATTCTAAATTTTAAAATTTAGATTAAACAAATACTTAGAAAAGTATAATTTAGTTCAAAAAATCAAGAGAACTGACAGCTGAATTTTCCTTTATTAAATAAATTGAAGCTGAAATGTTGCCTCCCCAGTCACATACGGTTTTCTGGGCAAGTTCTACTGAACATTAAAACAGCAGATTATGCTAATATTACAAAAATAGCATCCAGAAAATAGAAGATAGACTATTTCCCAACTCATCTATGCAGCAAGAATAATCTTGATGCCTGTCTTAGTCTGTTTTGTGCTGCTATAGCAGAATACCACAGATTGGATCATTTATAAAGAACAGAAATTTATTTCTTGCAGTTCTGGAGGCTGGGAAGTCCAAGGTCAAGCACCAGTAGGTCAGGGTCCAGTTTCTCTGCCTCCAACATGGCACGTTGAGGGCTGCATCCTCCAGAGCGGGGGAACACTATGTCTTCATGTGGCAGAAGAGCAGAAAAGGAAAAGGGTAAATCCACGCCTGCAAGGCCTTTTTATAACAGCATTAATCCATTAAACGCTTCCCAAAAGCTTCCATATCCCAAACTGTGACATTGGAAATTAAGTTTCCAACACAGGAATTTTAGGGGACACATTCAGACCACAGCAATTCCCAAATAGACGAAAGTAGTACAAGTGGTCAAAATTATAAACGAATTGCACATGTGAAGATAGAGAGAAACGTTAGCAAGCTAAATCCAGCAGGAAACATACATACACCCAAAGATGATATGAATGCCTACATTTGGTTTCACCCGGACGTACAAGGAAAGCTTTGCGTCTAAACATGCATAAATGTTATTCACCATCGCGCAGGGGAATAAAGGAGAAAAACTACATGATCATCTCAACAGAGGTGGGAAAATGGATACAATTCAAGACCGATTCACAAATTTACATGAAACACACGTGCACATCTCCCACACACCTCTTAGTATGCTAGGAAGAAACGGGAAGTCTTTCATCTGATAAAGACTCCTTCAAGAAAACCCGCAGCAAACGTCATTCTAACATTTAGTAGAAGCACATTAGAATATGGTAGCAGTTCCTTTACATGGTAGAAAGGCAAGAATGTCCACTATCACTCATTCACCAACACTGAAGGGCCCAGCCAGGCCAGCAGGGCACGAAGAAGAAATTAAAGCATAAGAATTGGAAGGCTTGGGAGGCCGAGGCGGGTGGATCACGAGGTCAAGAGATCGACACCATCCTGGTCAACATGGTGAAACCCCGTTTCTACTAAAAATACAAAAAATTAGCTGGACATGGTGGCATGTGCCTGTAATCCCAGCTACTCGGGAGGCTGAGGCAGGAGAATTGCCTGAACCCAGGAGGCAGAGGTTGCAGTGAGCCGAGATCGCGCCATTGCACTCCAGCCTGGGTAACAAGAGCGAAACTCCGTCTCAAAAAAAAAAAAAAAAAAGAATTGGAAGGCAAAAGCATATCTCTTATTATTCACATTTGCTATAGTTGTCTACATTGAAAACCCAATGGAAAGTCCAGGCAAATCATTCACTGTGATAATAGAGCGTCACTTTGTGGCTGATTCTGTTAATGCTAAAAATTGATTGCCTTTCTACACAACAGCAACAAATAATTTGAAAAGAATTCTTTTTATTTTTGCTTAGAGACGGAGTTTTGCTCTTATTGCCCAGGCTGGAGGCAATGGCATGATCTCGGCTCGCTGTAACCTCACGGGTTGAAGCGATTCTCTTGCCTCAGCCTCCTGAGTAGCTGGGATTACAGACCTGCACCACCGCATCCGGCTAATTTTGTATTTTTAGTAGAGACAGGGTTTCTCCATATTGGTCAAGCTGGTCTCAAACTCCTGACCTCAGGTGATCCACCCGCCTCAGCCTCCCAAAGTGCTGGGATTACAGGAGTGAGCCACTGCGCCTGGCCAAGAATTCTTAATAGGTGCCATTCACAACATCAATAAAATCTTAGGGTACTTGGAAATAGATCTAACTAAAGGTATGCAACACCTGTATGTATAACATGGTAAAACTGAAAGATTAAGGAAAACTGAAATAAATGGAAAGACAACCCATGTTCACAGCTTCAACATGAAGCCAACTAACGATCAATATGAAGTTCATTACCTTCAATGTGAAGCTAATAGTGTGTGGCTGCCAGTTCTCCCAACTGATCTACAGCTATCCACAGGTTTGATGCAAATAGAAAAACATCCCAATAATTTTTCTTCTTTTTGTTTTATTTTGTTTCTGTGTAGAATTTCATAAACTTTTTCTAACATTTATACAGAAGGGCAAAGGACTTGAAATAGCCAAGGTACTCCTGAAGAAGTATGAAGTGAGGAGAGACGGTCTCTGGAGTGGTAAGAATTATTATAAAGCAATGTAAATGAAAACAGCGTAATATTGTCCCAGGGACGGACGATGTAGCAATGAAACAGAATGGAGAGCCCAAAATGCTCGATCTGTGGTAGAAGTAGATTTGCGGCTTAGTTGGGGGAAAGAGAAATAAAATCAAAGAACGATGCTTGGGCAATTGCTAGACTACATGGGATACAAAACAAATGAGACTGGTGTTGGGGTCCGGCACGTCTGCCGGGGGACTACTGACCTGCAGGAGTCCCCAAGACTGCCAACGTAGATGTCTCGTTCAACCTGAGGAAGAGAGTACGCAGAAGTGAAAGAAAATAGAAAAGCGGAGTCTGGAGGGCTGGCTTAGGCTATGTCCAAGCAGCAATTTTATTTTTGCAATATGTTTCCTTATATACTTTTCTGAAGTCAAAGTTGTTTACACCAGATCAACGTACTTAAGTTACAGTAAGCAAGTTACGCCCACTAAGTTACACTCAGTAAGTAAGTTAATCCCATTAAGTAGGTTATGCCCAATAAGTAGGTTACTTTCAGTAATTAGGTTACGCCCAATAGATCGATGTAAGTAAGTTACAGTCACACACAGTAAGCTAGGGGAAGTAAGTTACAGTTACGCCCTGTAAGCTATGGTAAGTAAGTTACAGTTACACCCAGTAAGCTATGGTAAGTAAGTTACCAAGTGTAAATACTTAAGTTAATATTTTACAATGAAGGTAACAAGGGTCCAAAATGAACACAAGCAATAAACCATAAGAAGCCGAAAGTGGACACATTGCCTCCCAAGTCCTCATATCCATAAAGTAATGCCTGTTAATTATTTAGAATAACATAGTCCCTCTCTTGGTTCCTGCTTTCCCTCAGCTTGACTCCCCCAACCAGGGATCTGTGTCTGGGCTCAAGCTCACCGTATGGCGAGGCCCATTTACCAGGGGCCTCACACGGGAGTGATCCCCACAGATTCCCTCAGACTGGATCCCTAAATTGGCCATCATTCCAAAAGGCAATTTTGTGCATTAACTTGTAAGAGGGAAATGTAATACTTTGAGAAGATATGTAGGCTACTATGTACCAAATCTTGGAGTAGGGAAGAATTTCATAAATAACAAATATTAATAAATTTGACTACATTAAGCTCAAGATGTTCTCATCACGAAAAGACACAAGAGAAGAGGCACAGTGGCCCAGCAGTTGGGAAGGCCCAGGTAGGGGGATTGCTTGAAGCCAGGAGTTCGCAACCAATCTGGGCAACAGAGTGAGACCTTGTCTCTACAAAAGATATTTTAAAGTTAGCTGGTGGGCCTGTAGTCCCAGCTATTCAGGAGGTTGAGGCAGAGGAATCACTTGAGCCCAGGAGTTCGAGGCTGCAGTGAGCCACGATTGCACCACTGCCTTCTAGCCGGGGCGACCGAGACCCTGTTAAAAAACAAAACAAAACAAAGAAACACAAAAACAAAAGCAAAAAGAAGAAGACACAAGGAAGAGAAAAGATAAGCCAAAAACTGGAAGACGTTTGCAAGACCTGTGCTGGAAACAGATGCTCGGTGCTGCAATGAAAAATCAGCAGAGACAAAGGATCTCTTAGCAAAGCCATCTTTGCTTTCTAGAGAAAGGCTGCTTTTGTTAGCTATCTGCCGCGAGAGCATAACAGATAAAGGCAAAGCAGACATATTTATCTTTCACGTACTTGGGGTTGTCTTTACCGCCGTGTTTGATCTCTGTTGGCTGGAGCTAGCCTTTACAATCTAAAACGAAACTCAATTGGCTAGCAAATTAAAACTTTCCTAAACAGGTAAAAGCAGTGGGAACAAAAGGAAAAGAGGAAGTCGAACTATGGAAGGGACAGGAAGTTGCTTGTGAAAGGACTTAGAAAAGTAATAACGTAAATACCTTTGTTAAAGTACAAGGACACAGAATGTTCTATGTGCTTGTGAGCAGGTCTCGCATAAATATCCTGGTCGAAGCAAAAGGACATAGAATGTACTTACTCTTCTGTATCTAACAGCTACATAGGCCAGGGCTTATGAACAGAGTCACTAGTAAACAGCAAGAAGGCTTTGAAGAAAGTTAGTCTTTAAAAGAGACTATTATTTCTAACATTTATTATTATTATCCTTTAACAAGAAAAGAAACTTTGAAGGGGAACTTTTCTACTTCCCACGATGTGTAACTGACAAAAGATTAGCATCTAGAATATATCAAGAATTCTCACATATTAATAAGAAAAATACAGACAACTATATACAAATGGGCAAAGCCATGATGAGGTATTCCACTAGGGAGGGGACAAGCACAAATGGTCAGTAACTATGTGAACAGATAGTAGTATAGAGGAGTACGATTAGTTCACCTCTTTGGAAGACAGTTTGCATTTATGTTGTAAAGTTGATTGTTCTCATATCTTATGACTCAAGTGAACTCTGGCACGTGACCTTGGGACATAAGCAAAAGCATTCATGGCAACTCTTCCTAATAGCCCCCAACAAATGTAAGCAACCCAAACACCGCTCCAGAGAAAAACAGGTTCATATAGTGATTATGACAACACAATGACGTCACAAATACGTAATTGAATGAAAACTCAACTATCAGAAGATAAGATTCTTTTTTTTTGAGACGGAGTTTCGCTCTTGTTACCCAGGCTGGAGTGCAATGGCACAATCTCGGCTCACTGCAACCTCCGCCTCCCGCGTTCAGGCAATTCTTCTGCCTCAGCCTCCTGAGTAGCTGGGATTACAGGCACGCACCACCATGCCCAGCTAATTTTTTGTATTTTTAGTAGAGACGGGGTTTCACCATGTTGACCAGGATGGTCTCGATCTCTTGACCTCGTGATCCACCCGCCTCGGCCTCCCAAAGTGATGGGATTACAGGCGTGAGCCACTGCACCTGGCCTATAAGATTCTATTTTTTAAAGCTCAAGAACTATGAACAGAAATAGCAGATACAAAATTTAGGATAGTGGTTATTTCTGGGAGGGAGGTAGCAAATGCATAGGAGAGAAAGACGTAGGTAGGTATCAGTAACCAGTACTGAAATGTGTTGGTATACTGGGGTTTAGTGGGTGGAGGAGTGGGTTCACAGCTGTTTATTATACTTTATGGCTTAGATATACATTACACATAATCTTTTGTATGTATCAAATGTGACATTAAAGACAACATATAGTTTACAAGTTTAAAAATTGGTTTCCATAAAAGATTCTTTCCAGTTTTGGGAACTTTGGCTTCTTGCATAAATGCATTATTTTGATCTGTTATGCCAAGAGAGCATTGCTGGCCACGTGGTAGGAATGGGGTTTTCCTGAAAGACAGGTTGGGATGAGGCTGTTGTGAGCCTCCCCTTGGAGAGGAAAGGGTGAGGCAGGAGTCCAAGTCCTTGCCAGCTGGAGGGACCTGGAGCTCTCTTCCCAGACTGAAAACTTTGGGACTTTCCGCCTTTGAAGTTCTGGTTAATGTTGTGTTTCCCTGCGAACAGGTACCGGGAATAACCTTATAACAACCATGGGTTGGAGGCATTTCCTTAGGGAGAATGAGGAATGGGATGAAGGAGGGAAGGACAGGTTCAGCTGGGTGTGGGAGTTGGGGCGGAGAGGGGGCAGTCTATGCTAAAAAAGAAAGGCAGACAGCCCCCCACTTAGAGGTTGCTAGGAAGACAATGAGAGACAGCAGGGGAGTCACCCCGTGGTGATGAGTGAATTCTCATTCAGTTCCTTAAATAACCACGGGCCATTCGGTTGTTTAAAAGAGTCTAGGACCTCCCCCTTCTTGCTCTCTCTGGCTCCCTCGCTTGCCATGTGACACACCTGCTCCTGCTTTGCCTTCCTCCGTGAGGAAAAGCTCCCTGAGGTCTCTCCCCAGAAGCTGAGTGGACGTGGCACAATGCTTCCTGCGCCGCCTGCGGCATCCTGAGCAGATGAAACTTGGTTTCTTTATGAATTACCCAGTTTCAGCTGTTTCTTTACAGCGCAAGAACAGACCAAAACGCCAGCTGAACAGCTGCCCCTCCTCACAGATGTCAGGTTCACCTCCCTCCTCTTCATTTTTCAGTTTTTATAAGGTTAACCTCTTCCCTTTTGCAGAGGGTCAAAGCTGCTTCCTGTAGTTGTTACCACGTGATAGCTTACAGTTCTCTCTCTCTCCGGCTCACTCTCTTAATCTTTTAGTTACAGTTAACAGCTTTATACTTAATTAACCAATCTTTATGTTCAGCTCTTTCTGGTCAGATAATTGGTGTGATTTCCGTCTATAGGCTGGACCCTGACTGATAAAACAAATATAAATTAGCCGGGCACGGTGGCTCACGCCTATAATCCCAGCACTTTGGGAGGCCGAGGCGGGTGGATCACGAGGTCAAGAGATCGAGACCATCCTGATCAACAAGGTGAAACCCCGTCTCTACTAGAAATACAAAAATTAGCTGGGCATGGTGGTGCGCGCCTGTAGTCCCAGCTACTCAGGAGGCCAAGGCAGGAAAATTGCTTGAACCCAGGAGGCGGAGGTTGCGGTGAGCCGAGATCGCGCCATTGCACTCCAGCCTGGGTAACAACAGCGAAACTTCGTCTCAAAAATTAAAAAATATATAAAAAAATAAATACATAAAAAATATAAATTAATCATATTTATTGCATGTCATTGCCTGGGACTTAGAAGGTCTGTATTTCAGACCTCATTATGCTATTATTATATAAACTAATCAAAGAAACAGCCCCCTGGACTGGCCTCTCTGTAACTCTATCCCATCCTCTTGGGTTACAACGTTCTACCAGCTAGAATGCTCTTATTACCAGGAAATAGTCATACCGTTTTGAATTTATATAGGCTATTTTGTCAGAGTTTATTGAGTGTCTCATAGAGCCTTATGCTCATTTCCTCATTTGGTCCTCATAACAACCCCAGGAAGTAAATACTATTACTAGTGTTACCTCTGTTTCATGGACAAAGGCATTAATACCCAAAGAGATGAAGAGACTTGCTGAAGGACACACAGCTGTAGGTGGCAGGGCCCGACATCAGCCCCAGGTGGACTAACCCCAGACCCCATGTTCTTCACTTGCTGGTTGCTGCTGTCATGGAGAGAAAGCAGCTCTGAATCCCAGCTCTGCCACTAACGAGGTGAATGACCAAGAGGTCGGGGTATTGGCTGGGTGGCCCTTGGGACATGGCACGCTGAGGAGGCGGAGGGAAGGAGACCGAGGGCTGGTTGCTGACATCATCAGGATTGCTGGGCGCCCACCAGATCATTGGTAGATGCCAGCGATGTGGAATGAGCTGCAGGTGAGCTAAGGTTTCTAGAAGGCAGGAATGAGGGAGAGAATCGCCCTCTGACAGATCAGGCTGCAAGGAAGCAGTGTGCCCAGGGAGGACAGGCCTGAGTTGGCACAAGAGGGTTGCATGAGTGTCCTAGGGCTGCCAGAACAAAGTACCACACAGGTGGCTTCAACAACAGAAAATGTTGTCTGCATCCTGGAGGCCGGAAGTCTGAGACCAAGGTATCTGCAGAATGGTTCCTTCCCGGGGCTGTGAGGGAGAACCCG